GTTTGACCAAAAAGGCACATTCTGAGAAGACTAAAGTGAAGCCATAAAGATGAACAGGGGACTCTTTGTATAAGTATTTACTCCTCGCTGTGTTTTTTGTTAGACTGTGGAGATAGTCATATTTAGTTATGAGACATCATAATTTGGCACTATCAAATAAACTTGGCATGGGGAAGAAAGGAACGGTAATATAGACAAAAGTACGATAGATCCTTTCCAAATATAGCTGCAACAATCCCTCCTCTTCTTCATGCCTTTTTGCAATGTGACTTTGCCTCTCATCTCATCAAGCAATAGAGGCTTTTTCTCCTCCCATTAAATCTGTGCTGGCCATGTGACTTCTTTTGACCACTAGAATGCAGTGGAAGTGACACTGTGTGTCTTTTGGGCCTAGGCTTAAAGAGGCCTCGTAGCTTTCATTCTCTCCTTCTTAAAAGCTAGCCACATGGAGAGAAAAAGTCCACATGAAAGAGAACTGAGGCAGCCCAGACATGTGAGTGAGGCCATCTTTTATTCCCCAGTTGCCGTCAACCCTTCCCAGCCAACATCACATGGGACAGAAATGAACCATCCTCAATGAGCTTTGCCCAAATTCTGACCCATGGAGTCAAGAGCAATAAAAAGGGCTACTGTTTGAAGTTATGAAGAGAGTCTGTTATGCAGTAATAGATAACTAAAACAGGAAATGTTGTCAACTGAATGTTTACTACTCCTTTGAGATCCATGTAGAGGTAGCAACATCTTAATATGGAGGGATTTCAGTACAGAATTCCAGGTGTGGCTCATAGCACACCGGGCAGAGAGAAGCATATATATTGGTGACTGACTCTCCTATCTTTGAAGTACTGGGGTAAAGTAGGATTATAATTGTTAATTATTGTAAGGTAATTCTGACCTGATCACATGGAAAGATTTTTAAATTATCTACTTTTATAAGTTTTATTTAATAGCCTGAAAAATTTTCACCAGCATTATTACACTAGTATGATTAAAACACAAACAGCAAACAAAACCTGCTACTACTTGTGGAAGTAAAAATCAGAAATATAATTTTAAAATATTCCGGGCTCAGCTATAATATTTCATTTTTCTTATAAAAGTTTTTATTTCCTATTGTTGGCTTTAGTTTGGTATCAACTTATCTTTAAATCTTTAAATCAACTTATCTGTAAATCTGTACTAAGTCTGTAAAAAACCAGTTGCTGTTGAGTCCACTCTGACTCAGGGTGACCTCATGTGAGTCAGAGTAGAACTGTGCTCCATAGGGTTTTCAATGGCTGATTTTTCAGGAAGTAGATTGCCAGACCTTTCTTCCCAGGCACCTCTGGGTGGACTCAAACCTCCCCCCTTTTGGTTTGTAGCGAAGGACGTTAACCATTTGCATCATCCTAGGCTCTACCTCTGTAGGACCAATCAATTGAGGTGAGCTCCTTAAGCGACTGTTACATCCTCTCTTTGACAATAGTAAGGATACTGGGAAAATGTAGGAGTTTACAATATAATTGGGGCATGTGAAAAATTGGAGAAAAATACAAATTAGTATGTGTTCCAGGGCTAACTTGTGTGGTGTGCTAAGGCAAATAGCTTAAGAAAAGAGATCAGCCTGGTCAGGAAGTACCTCACTGAAGATACATTTGCACTAGGATTTGAGAGATGGGACGATTTGGATAGAAAAGATTTCTTGTTCCTCTTAAATAAAACCTAGCAGTCATAGATCTACCAGCTGTCTGCACTACTAATCACTTTCTGGTGCAGAAGATTTTGTCCTTCAACTACATTTTTAGCTCCTTTGCAAATGATTTAGGCTACTTTTATGCCGTTCAGTGTGCTGGAATAAAATATTTACTAAATGGACCCCCAAAAATTTAGTAAGTAATTGAAAGCAAATCTAGCTCTTCATATGCTCTCTGAAGTCCAGATGTTCTAGGCTAAAATTTAAATAAAAGAGTTACATGAAAACAAAATTACATACTAATAAAATAGATTTTATTCTATCCTTTTTTTTCTGGAAATATATACTAGTTATTGAGGGGAAAACAATTTTATATAACTGATAATTAACATAGAAAAACTATGTTAATTACATTAAAAGAAAATGAACAAGTATATGGATATGATGTCAAGTCCCTCTGCTGACTCTTGCCCATCTTAAAAGTAATTCACTCAATTTTTCAATTAATTTGGGGTAGACACAGCTAGTTGCCTATCCAACATCTGTTCTTCCCTTCTTTCTTACTTACAGGACCCTATTCGTAGTGCAAAGTACTGAGCTTCCCAAGCTTCCCAACAGTTGTTGTTAGGTGCTGTTGAGTCAGTTCCGACTCATTGCAACCCGATGTACAAGAGAAGGAAATGCTGCCGGGTCCTGTGCCATCCCCACAATCCTTGCCATGTTTGAATCCTTACAGTTAGGAGTGGTCAGTGATATGTGCAGCATAGATTCAGCTGGCTCACTTCTTCCTTCCTTTGCCCTTTCTTCTTCCTGCTTAGAATATGGACCAATGTCTGGAGGTGTAGCAGCAATCTTGCAACTGTGATGACAGAAGCCACATATTAAAGATGGAGAAGCCACAAACTAGAAGGGGGCTGGATTTTTAATGCTTTTTGGAGTAGCTGCGGCAGCCCTAAACTGCCTATTTATGTTACATGAGAAAATAAATCTCTATTTGATTAAGCTATTGAGGTTAGGTTTCTGTGATATGCAGCTGATCACAATCTTAACCACACGTGATTCTATAGATTTACATCTCTGAAGCTCTTTGGTCTGTGATTACAGCAGAAATGGCCTTTCTCCCGCAGAATTTACAGTAATCTACATATGTCTTCTCTTCATTGTTAGATGGTATACCTTCCATGTACCAATAAGTAGTAACTGTAGGAAGCAGCTACTACTGTTAATTGCGGGAGAGGAAGAAACTTAAGACCGTATGGCTGCCACAGGAGCATGCGGTCCATTTGTGTGAAGAACTGAACCTTGAGGACTGCTGAGATGACCACCACCGGGCTCCTCCTGCATACCAACCCACCGGCTTTGCACAGAAAACAGCTCACCAAAAGAAAGTCCCTTCTTCCTGCTCTGGCCTGACAGTGTCCCTCCCGCGCCCTCTATTGGCGAAGCCTAACATTTTGTCAGCAGTCAAAGGCCAAATGCCTACAGGGTAATGCCCCAGAACAACAAAGCAAGGCAAGAAAGGATGGATTTGGAACTCAGAGGCCATAAATGAATAACTGGTACAGATGGTAAAATACTCAAGGGTGAGGATTAGGTCTAATTCATGTTTATGTCTTCCACAGCATGTAACAGAGTGTTACACATAGTAGCTGCTCAATAAATGTTTGCTCAGTAATAAATAAGGTGCTGAGTACATGCAAAAGATTTTCAATAATTTTATTATTCTTCTCTTTGAGCTAAGATTGAGTCTCTTGAGACAAATTAGAATGACCTCCAAAATTTCTTGCTGTTTTTGGTATTGCAAAATTCTAACTTAGACAACCCAGGTAATGTTTTAAAATTTGTAACATGAGTTTATTCAAAATAGTTGGATACTTTTATGTGCCTATAAAGGAGTCTGTGTTTTATATTGTCATGTGCTTAAAGGATTTATTAAAAAACAAATGTTAAAGTCCCTTTTGTTGATTCATTCCATGATAGAATGGAATATTGGCAGAAATGGGACAAAAGTTGAAGCAGAGCTAGGCCCTAGGCTTAATGTGAGTTAGGTAATGTCTGTCCATGTTTACACTTTCATTTCCATTGTCAGTCCATTCCCAGACAGCTGGCCCTCTCTACAGGCATCTGGTACAGTCTTAATTTCTCCTGACTATATAAGGCTGTTCATGGTAGCACCTACTGAAACCATTTCTCTCTAGGCACTGTGCGGCTTCTGAACTGTTACCCATGTAAAAATCTTAATCTTTTATGTACTTGCTTCAGCAGCACATATACCAAAATTATAATGCTACAGAGAAATTAGCATCGTCCCTGTATAAAGATGACACAAAAATTCATCAATATTTTATATTTTTATAGTATGCTACCTTTTACCTCAGACGTGTGGGAAAGGATTTATCTAACAAGTAGAGAGAATTATGAATAGAAGGCTCATAGATGGTTACCTCTGGGGGAAGGAACAGGTTGGAGGGAACAAAGATAGAAGCTAGACTTATTTGAATATGCCTTGCTTTGTATATTTGAATTTGTAACCATATAAATCATTTATAAAAGTAAATTTAAAAAAGCAATCCCTAAAAATTGAAAATAAAATGAAGCAAATGAACTTAACTGTATCTAGTTGGTAGCAGAGTTCCCTGGGTGGCATAAACAATTTGCTGTCAGCTACTAACCTAAAGGTTGGCGGTTTGAACCTTCCTAGCGGCACCACAGAAGAAAGTCCTGGCAAACTGCTCCCATAAAGATTACAGCCAAAAAAACCCTATGGAGCAGTTCTACTCTGTAAACATGGGGTCACCGTGAACCAGAATCGACCTAACCTCAATAGGTTTGTTTTTAGTTGGTAGCAGAACTACAGAGAGTAATTACAAAGAGTTTCTGTAAATTGATAAGACAACTTCTTGCTCACTCTGCTTCCTGCACATTGGCCTCTTCTCTGTTTCTGAAACATGCCAACCGCACCCTGCCTCTGGGAGCTGCACTTTTTGTTCCTTCGAGCTTAGAACACCTTTCCCCCAGTTATCTGCTTTGCTCATATCTTCATTTCATTCCGGTCTTTGCTTGAATGTCTCCTCTGAAGAGAGCTCTTCCTAGATCCCCTATTTTTTTTTTTTTTCATAGCACTGATTGCTACCTGGCATTATTTATTTAGTTTGTTGGGTTAGTTGGTTGGCTGGTTTCCTCATTAGAATATAAGTCCATGAGGGCAGGAACTTTGTTTTGTTCTTTGCTAGAACATGCTTGGTCCATTGTTACCAGTTGCTGTCAAGTCAATTCTGACTCATAGCGACCCTATAGGGCAGAATAGAACTGTCCCGTAGGGTTTCCAAGGAGCGACTGGTGGATTTGAACTGCTGACCTTTTGGTTAGCAGCCGAGCTCTTAACCACTGTGCCACCAGGGCTCCATATATAATAGTACTACTGAAATGCTTTTAGCATAAAGCAACAGAACACTTTCTCAACCATACCAACTTCTGGAAGAAGAGCTAAGAATATATTTCCAGGTTGGGCTCCACTGATTCGAAGTTGCTATCAAGGTAGGAAATCCCGTAGGAAGAGAAAGCTAGAGGAAAGTCATCATTGATACGGTTCTGCTGGGAAGGGAACTCAAGTAATGGCCTGGGAATATAAGGCAGTGTAAGTTCAATGATGAGTCATTTTTCTATGACTTACTAGAGAGTAAAAGTGTTCAGCTTCCAGAGTCACAAGTCTTGACCATAGGGGGTCCTATCCAGGTGGCACTAGGAACAAGTCTAGATACATCCTTTTCTTTCCTTTCACCGCTGAAATCACTCTAGTTAGTCCAGTATCTTACTATTATTAATCTACTTTTATTTAGTCTCCTTTTCTTTGTCTCTTCTTCTTTATATGTATGTGGCATTCATTCATTCATTCAACAGTCATTTCATTCATTTATTATATATAATTGTGAACCTGCTTTCCTAAGATATTTGTTTAGTGAAAAACCTAGAATTAAAGCTTACTATTTAACATAATATTAGAAGCCTTCTTCTTCTCTTTAAAAATATTCTTTTAAATTTTTGTTTTTCCCTTTTTACTCTGCTGTTTATACGCTCTGCTCTGACCAAAATGGTCCACTTCCCATCCTCCAAATAGCCATTGCATAAGAGTCTGTTTGTAACTCTGGCTGCTTTGCCCTAACAATGCCCACAGGGACCTCTGAGTCTTCAGTTACTTCATACCCATATCAGCAAAACATATGCTACCCAAATATAGCTGAAAATTAAAAATAAAATAACTGGGGTGGGGAAAGGTTAAGAATTAGGACCAGATCGTCTTCACTGTCTCTGTTTTCTACTGCTGCTCCTCGAATTATCTGGACAAACAGCATTACCCTTGAGATCTGCTAATTTTTTCCCACATTACAACTCTCCTGCCTCAGAGTTTTTATTTAATTTGGTCTGCCAGAACATTGACCTTCGTCCTGTTCATCCTGTGTTCTCACATAGACCAACTTTTTCTTAAAAACAAACAGCAAAACAAATTATCTTTTTATTACATAAGTAATACATGAATACGGGCTTATAAGTAATCTAAAAAATATAAAATTATGTTGAGCAAAAACTATAGTTCTTGTACACCCTGCTACCCAATATTGCTTCTCTTCTTAGAAGTAATCACTATTAACAGGCCTTTCTTCCTCGGTGCTGCTGGGTGGGTTTGAACCACCAACCTTTAGGTTAGTAAAGGAGTATAAACCATTTGTGCCACCCAGGGATCTCATATACTAATATGGTTTTTAATTTTCTTAAATAAAAATTTATACTGTGATTTTTCAAATATGTATTAGCAGCCTTTCAATTTCAGTAAACTTAGAACTCAATTTTTAAAAGATGATGTTTACAATTTTATAATGGAAACTTCTAATATAAATGGAATAATATAAATTCCCACCATATCTTAATTTCAACAATTATCAACACATGGTCAATCTTGTTTCTTCTATTCTCCCTCTCATCCACTCCTTTTCCCCACTACCCAGGTTATTTTGAAACAAATTCCAGAAATTATAATATTTTGATTGAATCTCTATAAGCACTCTTTTTTTGTTTTCATTTTTGTTGTTGTTAAAGAGTAGAACTGCTCCATAGGGTTTTCTTGGCTGTAATCTTTTCTTTTATAATTTATTTTATTTATTTTGTTGCTGTTGTCAAGAATATATACAGCAAAACATACACCAATTCAACAATTTCTACATGTACAGTTCAGTGACACTGATTACATTCTTCAAGTTGTATGGCCATTCTCACCCTCCTTTTCTGAGTTGTTCCTCCTCCATTAACATAAACACTGTCCCCTAAGGTTCCTATCTAATCTTTCAAGTTGCTGTTGTCAGTTTAATCCCATATGGATAGTTCTTAAAACAGCATAATGCTCAAGGCAGACATTCTTTATTAGTGAAGCTAAACTGTTATCTGGTTTTAACAGGGACTCTTTTTTGAAAAAACGTAATCATAATACCATTATCACATCTAAAATATTTAACAATAATTCCCTAATATCAAATATCCAGCCAATGTTCAGATATCCCTGATTGTGTCAAAATATTTCTAAACAGTTGGTTTGTTGAAACTAAGGATCTGAACAAATTCCACACATTGCGATTAGTTGGTATGTCTCTTAAATCTCTTTTAATCTATAGATTCTCCCTCCATCTTCTTTCAAATTTATTAGTTCAAGAAATTGGATTGTGTGTCATATAGAGTTTTCCACATTCTGGACTTTTGCTACTTTTATCCTCACGGTGTTATTCAACAAGTTTCATCTGAAACTTATGTTTCCAGTAAATTGGTAGCTAGATCTAGAGGCTTCCATATTTTCATGCAAATAACACGTGCCTCCTATGTTTGTTTATCAGCCACGCCCTCCCCAGAGAAGTATTTCCGTAAGCACTGCTATGCCTTTTTTTTTTACATGTTCTTATAAAAAATTAACATAATTTGCTTATGAAGATACTTCATGGGGGGAGGGTGCAGTTGACAAATTGTTTAAACGTAGGAGGCGTGCGTTATTTGTGTAACAATATGGTAGACTTAGGGTTTTTTGTTCCTTTAAAAATTGTATCTATTTTTTTTTTATCCATTCTGCCACTCTCTGTCTCTTTATTGATGCATTTAGTCCATTTACATTCAGTGTAATTATTGATAGGTATGAGTTTAGTGCTGTCATTTTGATGTATTTTTTTGTGTCATTCACAGTTTCTTTGTTCCAGTTAATTTTCTGTGCTGAGTTGTTTTTCTTTATGTATTTTCTTTTCATCTTTTTCATTGTTGTTGATTTTGTATTTGCCGAGTCTTTATGTTTTTCTTGTTTTAAAAAATTGTATTTATTTTTATAGACTCTTTCATAGGTGGTGTTGTGTACTTCCTATGTGCATCATTTAGGAGGGACATAATATGTGGTTGTCTTTTTTTACTTTAAAATTCATCAGTGGGGTCAGCCTAATTCCTCCATTATAAAGTTCCCTATAAGCTTTTCACTTAATGGTGTTAGTAGCCATTGATGGTTGTCATGGATTGAACTGTGTCCCCCAAAAAGTGTGTGTATCAATTTGGCTAGGCCATGATTCCCAGTGTTGTAACACCATCCTAACCCAGGTCACATCCCTGATCCGATGTAAAGGGAGTTTCCTTGGGGTGTGGCCTGCATCACCTTTTATCTCTTGTAAGAGATAAAAGGAAAGGGAAGCAAGTGGAGAGTGGAGGACCTCATACCACCAAGAAAGAAACACCAGGAGCAGAGTGCATCCTCTGGACCTGAGAAGCTCCTAGTCCAGGGGAAGACTGTTGACAACAAGGACCTTCCTCCAGAGATGACGGAGAGAAAAAGCCTTTCACTGGAGCTGACACCCTGAATTTGGACTTCTAGCTTACTAGACTGTGAGAAAATAAATTTCTGTTTGTGAAAGCCATCCACTTGTGGTATTTCTGTTAGAGCAGCACTAGATGACTAAGACAGAATTTGGTACGGAGAAAGTGGGGGTGCCACTCTAACAGATACCTAAAATGTGGAAGCGGTTTCGAAACTGTGAATAGATAGAGGAGCGGCAGTGGCAGAGGACCAGCAACAGCAAAGAACCTGCAGCGGCAGAGAACCAACAGCAGCAGAACCGGGAGACCAGCGTGAGATGGCGCTGGAGCTGACCCGCGGAACAAGAGAGCTGAGTGCCTGTGCGCCAGTGGCTTCCTGGTGGAGTGGGATGTCTCCGGGTACTTACGGTGGAGGTAGGCTTACCGACCCACGGAGCGAGGGAGCTGAGTGCTTGTGCGTAGGAGGCTTCCTGGCGGAGTTGGGTGCTTCCGGGCACCTACTGGTGGAGCTACTCAGCTTTGGAA